ATGGTAATAATAGAATCATTTTTATAATTTTTATAATTATTAATTATGATTAAGCTATACCAAACAAAAATATTATAAATACATTATACATAATATATACTAACTTTTATCCAAACAATTAACTTAACAAATACATAGTAAAACTAATTTGTTAAAGTGAGTTTTATCAATCTTATTATTAAATATTAATTTTAAATTTTCATTATAATAGCCAAAAAAATAAGTATTAATTACTATTATCGTTACAATACTAATCACTACTACTTATAATTAAACTAATATGCTTTTAATTTTAAAAATCTACTTAAAAAACATTTACTTTTATTTTAATAATTTTATTTATTAATAAAATACACATAAATGATTTATTTAATTGATTTTAATAGTATTGAATGACAATTTTGAAATAATTTTAATTATTTTTTAACAGTAATCTATCAAAAATTGTAAGTTTTTTTATAATAAGATTATTGTTATCCGTTTTTTTCTATATAAGATTTGTGTTAATATTGTAAAAATACTAATATTTGTTAATTAAAAAAGTGTGTATAAATATATTTTAAAAATTATAATAACTCATTAGTTTAAGAAAAAACAACATTTTTTATGTTTTTTTAAAATAAAAAATTTAATTAACATTTATGTTAATTTAGTTAACGTTTTAGTCATCAGCTTTATGATTATTTATCATATATATACTGTATATTGTAATAATAATAGTTAACAGTAAATGACATGATTTGTATTATTAGCCGATTAGATACATAAGCTATAGCTATAATAAACAGACAGTAAATTAATGCTTAACTAGTCATAGGATCATTAGGTTTATAACGTATCTAACTTTAGGAAAGTTATTATTTATTTTTTGTTTTGTAGTTTCATATACTAATTATTTATATATTTTGTTTTATTTTTCACTTTTTCTGTCGAAAAAATGCATGTTTTTCTTAATTAAATTAATTTTTTATGCAAATCCATTGTGTATACAACATATAATTTGTTTCAATAGATTACTGTAGTAATAGTAATCAAATAAATTTTTTTTCAACAAAAAATAATTGAACAAATTATTTATAACATATTATTAGTAAGTGTATTACTGGAAAAAAATTATTTATTTTTTTGTGCAAAATAACTGTCATTATATTATACAGTATTTATAATTTTAATAAATTTTAATATTGTTGAAATATTTCTATTATTATATGATAAAGAAATTTTATTACTAAATTACAAAATGGTAATTAATATTTTTTTAGTATAAATATCCATTAAATATTTTTTTAATCTTAGTCACCATTGAATATATAATATAAATATATTTTTAAATAATAAACTAACAATAAACTAATTTAAATATCTATAATAAACATAATAATCAATAATACGTGTTCAATAAAATTTATTTTTCATTATATTATTACATATTATTAAAATATTTATACACAAAAAATAACTTTCAATAAATTGCTAAAAATTTTATAACGATTAAAAGGGAGTAATTTTTAATAATTACAAATATATTTTCTATTAATAATAATACAGTAATTTCTAATTAATACAATAATTTTTTATATTAAGTAAAACTTTTATAAATGATATTGATATTTTAAGTTTAATCTAAAACATTATTAATCTCCATTAAATTAATAGTTATAATGTTGTATGACTAATATTTAGGTGTCTTAATATGTATGTATGTTTGCTATTAAATGCTATGCATTTGTACTTGAAATTGTAAAATATAAATATATATATATATACAGTATATTGAAATATCAAATTAATCTCTGTCTATCAATAATATAAATAATATACTATATATGCAAACATGTTGTGATGATTACCCTGAACTCGATTCATGTAATTTTCAAAAACCAAAACCCTGTTTTATTACCATTAAAATTGTGTAAATCATATATGAAAAACAGTAAATGTAGTAATAATAATAATAAAAATATTAAACTATATTAAGAATTTTATAGTAAAACAATTATTTTATTTAATAATATTAGTATAAAAATTAAAAATACTTAATAAAATTATTTAAGTAAATACAGGATAATAAAAATTGTATTAAATTATTAATTTAAATGTAATATCACTTTAATTTGAATCATACAGCAGTAAAAAAATTTATAAATTTAAGTTATAATTAATTTATAATTTACAAAAAAAAGTTTAGCAAAATTTGACTTTAGAATTTTATAAATTACATTATTCAATCTACTAATAAATTATTTAATATTTACAAATTGTCCAATAAATTCATTACCAAAAATGTATAAATGTGCCAAAAATTAATCCCATACATTAATTGATAATCTTTAAATCGTAATAATAATAAAATATATAATATTTAATAGATTAATAATTTTGATAAAAAAGAATTATAATTCTTTTTTAAAAAAAACTTAAATAAAAATTTATTTACTATAAATGGATACATAAAAATAATTTATTATAACTAAAAATAATTAATAATTTATTTGGATTACTAATAATCATAACTAATTATTTTTTTAAAAAAATATTTTTTTTAAATTGATTTTTGCCCAAAAAAAATTCGTTTTTTTGTACACAAATATATAGTTTTACTTTTATTTTTTTAGTCGCCCATTAAAATTACACAATAAATGCATTTACAGACATAAAAAAATATCATTTTTATTTTCTAATATATACGAAAAATGCTATTTTTTAATCTAAACCTTGAATTTTAAATATATTTCATATTTTATATACAAGTTTAATCAACGAAAAAATCTCCTTCAATGCACTTAATATAACACTGAAAATAAAAGATTAATATATATACTGTATATATATATATATATATTAGAAAATTTAAAATATAAATTTAGAGTATTTAAGATTTTTATAAAATAAAAATTTAATTTTAAATTAAATAATGATATTTTATTTTACATATACGTCAAGAGAGAGAGAGAGAGAGAGRGAGAGAGAGAGAGAGAGAGAGAGAGAGAGAGAGAGAGAGAGAGAGAGAGRGAGAGAGAGAGAGAGAGAGAGTGACTTTGTTAGAAATATTTTTTTTGTAAAACAAATATTTTTTATATTTTATCAAAATAAAATTCAGATAACTTTCCGCCCAATTATTTAAATTAACTTAAAATCAACTTAAATAATCGTTATACTTGTAGTATTAAAAATTATAAGACAAATAAATTTTATGTTTTTTTTATAAAAGTTTGCCATCAAAAAAATCTATCCAACTGTTTCCTCAAATAATTAAATAGATTGTTTGGAAAATTTATCTTAATATTAGTATAAATGATAATAAATTTAATCCAATGCTAATTAAATATTATATGAATATACAATTGCTTGACAGTCATTGTTTAAAACCTATCATTAATAATATCCAATAGAGATATTGTTATAATCTATGGTAGAAATAACTGTCATAAATATTATAATTTTAAGGAACTGGATGTTAAATATATTTTATATAATGAACTTCAAATAAATAAACTGAAAAAATATAATATATAAATATGCAAAATATTTTCCATTTATCATAACATTATTATTGTTTCAAATATGTCGACCAAATCATAAATATGCCCCAATTCTGTACATATATTTTATTTAAAAAATATATTAATCTTATTTCGCTTTTTTGTGTGTAAATAATATTAAAAATGAAAATAATTTTAATAATAAATAATTTAATATTGTTTTAATAATATTTTATGCTCATTGTTATAAATGAATACAAAATTTAAGCGATATATAATGACTATATAAGCGATAACTTATATAATGATAGATTTTTATAAATATTATTAAAATTGTCAATTTAACTAAATATTTGATTATAGATTATGTTTTAGTTAAAATAAAAATAACTAGTAATTAAAGTAAAGTAAATTTAATTTAATAAAAATCAAAAATAAATTATTTTATTTATTAATTCATTTCGTGATAATTAATTATGTAAATAAAAACTTTATGTTGCAATTGTGGCTAATTTCCATATTAATAATCACACATTTTGTGTTTGTATTGTTTATCTTATTATTATAAGTGTAACATATATGTCACTTAAATATTTAATTTATAATATTTTTTGCAACTATAATGTAATTTCTCTTTTATTAATGATTTTTTAAATTAAAATATCATTGATTTATTTAGTAATTAATAAAGTAAAAAATATTTTAACAAACAAAAGTGTTTAATATCCTAAAAAATCAATCAATTATATATGATTTTCTTAAGTTTGTACAAAAATTGTTTATCTTATTTAACAACTTAATAAATATTTAAATATTTTGTATTGAGTGTGAAATCTATAATCATATATTTTCTCAAAAAAACAATCATAAATGTAATAAAAAGTTTTAATATTTAATAGACTAATAATTAATAATTTATAAAAAACTTTCCTCAAAAAATAAATTAAAACAACTTATTTTTCAACAAAAAACAACATTATTGATACAATAAATCTTATTTATTTATTTATTGACAACAATAATAATAATAAAATGTAAAAGTAATATATATATTTTTTAAATTAATAATATGCGCACACAAAAAATTAATGCATTTTTTAATACACTATAAACTTAAATTATAATATAATACTGTACTAAAAAACATATAGTAAAAATTTAATTACAATATAAAGTATAGAATAATATATAATAGATAATCAACAAATAAATTGAAAAATAATTGTATAATTAAGTTATCCAATACAACAAGCAATATATAATACTTTATACTATATATTAATAATATAGTCTATATTATAACTATAAACTTTATAGTTATAATATAGACTATATTAACAATATACCATAAATAATTGGCAGTAATAAACATATTGATTGTGTATAATAGTAATACTACTAAAAAATTATTATTAAGATATGAAATTATTAATTAACTAAATAACTGTCTATCAATACATAAATTAGATGTAGAAAAATTGGTGTAATTTTGTTTAGTTTTATTTTGAGAGGACATACCTGCTATCAGACTGTGCCGGATCACTGGTATCGAGAAATCGGACGACTGAGTCTTGTTTGCTTAAATTAGGCAAATGATTGATGGATTGGCTATGGCTGAGGGTATGGGTGGTCATCATATTGGGCTCACTTTTGGTACTATGGAGCGGATGTTTCTTATTAGAGGATAATGATGACGGTTTGGGATCCTTTTTATCGGTACTTTTGCTACGTTTGTGTTGGATATTGCCATCGGGTCCCAGTGCCGACTGTAGTATTGATGGACCGTTACATTTTTGCATCGGTGGTCGACGTGGAAATAGGTTTCGTTGAATAAATGGCATTTTCTCAGATAGTTTTATTAGTCACCCACTCACACACACATTGATTGATATGTATTAAAAAAAATTATTGAGTTTTTTTAAAAAAATAAATATTAGTTATTTTAAAAATCACTTCAAATTTTGCCAATAAATAAAAGTTTTAATATTTTTTTAGTTTTTGTTTCACTATTAGTCAAAATAAAATATATAACAATTTTTGTTGTTGTTATTGTTGATAATATTATCAATAAATTGACTTTTAATTATCACACATTAGCTTATGGGGTAACATCCGGCCAATTAGTAATAAATTTGTTTTGTGTGTGTGTGTGATATGATAATCACGCAATTATTTTAATGTTTATATTTACACACACACACATACATATATAAAAACGATGAATGAATGAATTAATTAATTAAATTTTAAAAAAACAAAATAAAAAGTAAAATGAGATGAAAGTCCTCAACAGTTAAGTGTCAATGTGTTGGCTCTCAATGATGACAACAAATGCGTTGGAGTACCCGTTCTCGGCCTAAAAAACTATTCAACAAATAATATGATACATAAAAAAGCAATTTACTATTGGGTGTAATGATTAAAAAAAACTTTTTACGAATTATTAAATTTGAATTATATATTTATAATATTTAACAAAAAAAACACATAAAATTATAATTACTGTATGTGTTTCATATTAAAAAAAATATTAATAAGAAAGAGTGAAAGAGAGAGAAAGAGAGAGAGAGACAACCAGTTATCAAATTCAATGACAACCCCGCAACAGACATGACATACACACCAACATTCCCGGCATAGGTAACTGTGCTTTTTTGTCGCAATAATAAGCATACACACGGGTGTAGTCCCAGTAAAAAAGTAAGTTTTCACTTTTTACAACACAGATATCATAAAAAAATAACCAAAAAAATAACTAAATAAAAAATTACATTTTTTGACTCTTTAATTATAACTATCGGTGTGTTTCACATCAGTTCAATGAGAAAATTAGGTCTAAATATCTTAAATAATAAGATTTTTTTTCACTAAAGTGTATATAACACTGATTTTGACATCAATTTTAGTTAATTTGTGTCTCTCTTTCTTTCTTTGACAAACAGTTTTGTCAAAAAACATATAGAAAAACATACAGATTTTGTTGTAAAACAAAAAAAAAATAATCATAATTATTATGATTATATTTGAAAGTAATATTTTGTTGTGTGTGAAACAAATAAATCGGAAATCTAGTGAAGCGATTTAAAAAAATAATAGGTTTACTACTACTGTATAGGTATGTGTGTGTTGTTTTGTCAACGGTTGGGAGGGTTGGGAGGGACCGGCAGTTTGACAAAAAAAATATATAGTGATCAGTAAACTTAACAACTATATAGTTATTTATTGTGAGAGTTTGCCAATTGATTTGTCAAACAAACCATACATTTTTTAAAATTACTCTATTAGTTATTAAACACAAAAAAACTAGTTATTAAAATAATTTAAATCTTTTATGGGGTCTCTCTTTCTCTAATAGCATACACATGTATAGCACTGGTGACATACAGACACTGTATATATACATTATATGATAAAATAGAAAATTAGTGAAAGTTAATGATTAATAAATATAATTATTATTATTTTGAAAAATTTGAAACTTTATTACGACAAATACACAACCCAATTATATTAAATAGCTTATACAGTACAGTATATACATAATTAGGACATAAAAACAGTTATGAATTTATTAAAAAATAAAACTAAATATTAGTAATGAAGAGTAAAAGTGAACACAAAAAAACTAACATTTTTTTCTCAACAATTTCTCAATTCAAGTGTAAAGTAATATTAAATACAAGAGAGACTCAAAAAAAACTAATAATATTTAGATTTCAGACAAGATTTTCATTTCATTGAAAAAATATATCAGTTATAACTTTTAAATGTTATTTAATTTTTAAATGATATTAGTTTTTTTTACTGTACTTACGGCTCATCTCTTAAAGTTGGATATAAATCTTCACTTATTTTTTATTCAAAGTTATATTTCAGATGCGTTTTGATGATAACAAACAGTTTTTTCTTTCAATGATATCACTGATACAAAAAAATAATAGTCAAAGAAAAACATTTACTACAGTATTAACTTAATACTATTAAGAAACAGTTTTTTAATATTTTTTTCTCTCTCTCTCTCTCTCCAGAAAGCAATTAATAATAATAATAAAATATATTTTTATATTTGAATATACAAACTGAGGATTACGTAAAAAGGCAACACAAATAATTTAATATTATTAAACAATATAAATGCAAATAAAATACAATTATTACTATTTGAAAGGCACCATAAAATTAAATATAACAAAAATTAATCTAATATACAGTATAAAACACACAGTATATTATAATATAATAATAATAAAATTTGTTGCTTATTGTAAATGTAAGTTAGCAAAGAAAAAACGCATATATATTGATATTATAAAAATAAATCAACAAAAATTAAAACTTAAAGAGAAAAACACAAGTATTTATTATTAATAAAAGTTTATTTCTTTCATTCTTACAGTTTATTACAGTTTTGCTAAATTGAGTGAAAAAAGTTAGTTGTTATTAGCGATAGTGTCAAACAAACTATACTTTTTCTGAGAGAAAAGGCTAATACGGGCTRAGAGAGAGAGAGAGAGAGAGAGAGAGAGAGAGAGAGAGAGAAGGGAGTGATATATTGATATGAGGGTGAGTTCAACAATAAAAACATTGAAAAATATATAAACATATATAAAGTAAATAGCATTGAGATTGAGAAATAGCTTATTTTATAATTTAATATATCATAAAATTATTATATATTATATACCATTTCAATTGAGATCACTTTATAGTTAATGCATATATAATAAATACTTTTTTTTTAAAAAACAAGAGCACACAATAAAACAATATACACTGTAAGACAAACTGTATTTTATTTTAACTGTTAACGATATGTATATTATTATTATTAACTTTTCAATAGTTACCTTCAAATTTTTAGTCTCTATTTAATAAGAGATACCTGAGCTTCAAGAAAAACTAGACGTCCAAACACACACACACACAACAAAAAAGGAGTTAAAGTATAGATATACAATATATATAATCAAGTATTTTAATATATGAATATTTTTTAAATAAAACCACAAAATGCGTTAAAATAAATGTTTTGAATACCAGAGCACATAATACAACAAAAACACATGTATGTAAAGACAAATGTAATATATATTTTTTTGAGTGTTTAATCGCCAGACCAGCAATTTGCTACCCGCGCTCGCTATCACTGAATTGGCTCTTATAGTACACATACAATAAAGCTTCAATCAGTGGGAAAGGGAGAGTAATAATACAACTTAAACTGTAAGCACACGCATATTGATTGGGAGATAGATTTTTTTGGCTGAAGGATATCTGAGCGAGAAAAAAATGCATTAATTTTTTGTGTGAATATATATATATATATTCTGTTATATTATGGGAGTTCCCATCTAATGTTAAGCTAACTGTGCTGCTCTCCATTGAATCCCTAAATATTTCTGTATTGTTTATAACGTGATTATTCAATAATAATAAAAACATGAATTTTATTTATTTAATGAAGTTATGCTTTTTTAAAAAAAACTGCTTTCCTTTTTTTTTGCTTTCACTTTGTTGTTGTTGGTTGTATACCAGTCCTCATCACAGCTTTCTGTCCTCTCTTTCTCGAGGAAATACACAAAAAAGTTAATTTTCAAATGTTTTTTTCTCTATAAAATAACAGCGCATATACCTGTGTATGTGTGCCCTCAATCCACACCTGACATAATCTTGTACCTGACTTTACAACTTTGACTACTGTTCCCCCCTCTATACACAAACAACAAGCAAACAATTGATTGATTGGAAGTCAACGTTATTTTTTTGGTGTGACTTTTACTTTTAAACCTTAAATTTACTGTACTTTTAGAAAAAGAGAAGTTCACCGATAAATACACAAATATTTCCATTCAATTCTATAATATTGAAGTATTTCCAATATATATATATACTGTATATACAGCTTTTATTGTGTTTTAAAACTACTGCATTATTATTATTATTATTTTCAATCATAGAAAATAAATGAATAATAAAAAAAACAGTTGTAATGAATAGTATGTTTTGGTTACTACAACATAGGTGTTCCCCCTAACCAACCATTCAATTTGAAAATGACTTACAATTTTGAGTCCAAACATAATAATATTGTAATGACTATTGCTCTGTAATGCCATTGTTTGATATAAAATATATATTGTATTGAACACAGAGATTATTGTATAAAATAGTTTAGACTTATTTTATCAATAATTTTCTTGTACTGTATTATCAATATTTCAAAAAAAATATATATTAATTTTTTTGGGGTCTTTAATAACAAAAAGCTAATTACTTTCACTTTTTCTTTGCGTGAAATAACATGTTTTACAATATATATATTGAAAAATATTGAAATCAAAAGTTTTTATTATGTATAGTATTTTTATCTGGAAAATATTATCATAAAAATGTATGTTTGCTTTTAAAATGGAAATTACAAATAGCTTAAGTGATGTCAGTTTATTTTATGTTGTTATTGCTTTTATGTTACATATTATCATAAATAACTTTATTTGCAGCCAACGGTTGCCAACCCATAGACATCATCTGTCCGTCTCTAATGGTATCAACAATTAGACGTAAAAAAACTAGCTTTCATGCGGTGATACTATTATATAAATAAACATTATTTTTTTTTGATGTGATAGACATTTGAGACTTTAGGCGATATCAGTCAAAGAAAAACCTAACATCAATTTAAATCTCATTAATCTTTTATGAAAAATTGTTGACTTTTATGTATACATTTTTATGCCAATAGACATATTATAATTTGGGCCAACCAGTAGTGTCCAGTGTTGATCACCGTAAGGAAAATGTAGTTATATTGCAATTGTGTGTATATTTGTTTGTGTTTGAATTATAAGTCTGGGCAGTGATAATAGTTATCTAAC